TCTAAGTATACTACTAGACTAAGGAGAAGCAGGACTAGTCCTGCTCTTTGTATGATTCTTATTGAATAAAAACTACACCATTCGTAGGAACGGAAGAGAATCTGACACTCCGTGTTGCCTCACCCATGGCGAGAGAAGTCATTGGATGATTTTTCCCCTTCAATAAAAAAGTTGACGCTTCTGATGAGGTAGATAGTATTTATATGTACGTCTATGTCAATTATGTTTCTTTAATCTCTAGTACAACCGACACACCTATTTTAGAAAAGAAAATAAATGCTTATTTCTTTATCAAAACTCGTAAAAGGAGAATGCTATTTGCTTCCGATACGATGCAATCATAATCAAATACTCCAAAGTACTTTTGCTGATAAAAATCTATATTTGCGAGTCGACTGTAAAATAGTATGTCGGAGACCAAATTACTAAAACGATTGTACTATTAAAAAAAGTTTACATAAAATATGAACTAATTTACATAATTTTAAATGGCGTACAATAAAATATTTTAAACAATGGTTACATTGGTTTAAACTAATACTTATTAATACCATTACCATTCTTAATACCATCACATAAAACTAGTTCAAATTCTTTGTACAATATTTTTGGTCTAGTGATTGTAATCTAGATTTCTGAAATTATATTCCACAAAGTTTGACTTCCAAAATAAATAAAGTGTCAATCAGGGTTTTTTGGTTCCTTATAGTTCAAGTGTGGGAGAGCCATGCTTCGGCATGAACGGGTCGGCTCGACAGGAGTGATTCCACGGCCTCACAGAAGACCGACGTGAAACCACGTTGTGTTTTGTTTCGTCGTATGAGTGAGGTTACCGAAGGCACAATTACCCCCCTCCCCTTCCCCAATTCCTGAATCCTCAACAATCCTCAAATTCCTAATCCCAAAACGCCGGTAACGTACTTGTAACGCCTTTGCTGTTCCAGGTGTCCATGGGCGACGCCCATTGCTTACCATCAGGTGATCCGTCTGCTCGTTTACCGACTTATCCCATAAAAAAATTATATTTTAACCGACGCAGGCTTTGGTATATCAAAGTGCTAGATGAATAAAACAAACACTAACAAAATTATTTTTCTATGTTCATTATATTGTTATATGTAGTAAATCGTTGTTTTGTCTCTACGCCGCTCAAAGGTCGTTTGTTAGAAAATGCTTGACATTAAGTTGATGCAATCGCCTTAGCAGCATGTTATTTTTTCGTCCTTCAAACAAATGCATATATTTTAAAGATTTTTGTTAGTTTCTCAGTATTATATTGCTTTTTATAAAAACCTAGATTTTTCCACGACTACTCTTGCGTCATTCTTTAGTCTCCTATTGATTCTACTTTTTTATTTTTGTTTTATGACAAAATCAGATACTTTTCTGATTTCCAAGGCCTAAATTATACTTCAATTTCATTTTTCATTTCATTTCATATAAATCAATCCAGTAGTTTAAGCGCCCTTTTGTGTCAAAGAGTATTTTAAATTTTATTTTATTACTGAAAAACTAAAAATAAATTAAAATTTAAAAATAAACAAAAATCTCAAGTCAATTGTCAAATTTTAATACAAAGTTTTTGACTGAAGTTAAATTAGTCCAAAAAATAATAGGTACCTATTATTTTTTGCCTATTACATTTCAATTACAAGTAGGTACTATTTACTAGTGCTCACAAAAAGAGACTTCTTATTCAAAGCATATAATTCTATAGACTTTATTTATTTATTCCGATCAATATAGGTTAGGTTTAAGTAATTTATTTAGGAAAAGAAGCCGAAAGAAATGAATAGTGTCCATTTCCGTACGAAACCGAAAGATTTTTATAGTATAGACCCTTTTACGGTATTGACGGCTAAGGAATATCGTATGAAAAAATCAATTTGGCAAAATATATGATGAAATATCATTTTGAAGGAGACTACGGTTTTGCTCATATTTTATATCAGGATAAATACTGTATGGCAATAGGCTCACCCCTATTACAAGGGACTCGTAACATAAATAGTGAAAAGTGGGTGTTATATTATACAGTGGCATAATGTGCACCTCTGCCTACTCCTTCGGGGATAAAAGGCTGATGTTATGTTATGTTATGATAAATATGTAAAATGGGGTGAATAGGGATCGAAAGGTGAATAGAGACAAAAGAGGGGTGAATAGATTTTTGGAAATTCTTCATAGTATCTATTCACCTTTCGATCCCTATTCACCCCATATTACCGTACAGGATATAAATGCAAAGCTCCCGAGGAGCTGACTAAAAGAAATTGTTTTTATAATTTTAATCGTCTTTATTTCCGTTGCATGCAATATCACCCTTAAGCAGTTTATTATAACATATATTTATTTAAAATTCTCTATCAATTATATTTTTAAACACTACTTATAAAATAAAAAATAATATTTAAAAATATAAAAAATAGGAGTTGACCAGTAGCGGGAGCATGGTCCAAGCTACCGGTGGTTAAGGCTCCAGTGACAGAAACCTCCTCACGATACGTGCCGTTTCTAGGAGAACTGCCTTCTGTATCAGGCCCTTGATCGATCCACCTAACGCCAGCCTCCTAAGATGGATGTCGAGGCTTTTAGGGATTAACCCATTGGCCGACACGACTATCGGCACAATGATAGCCGAATCCACACTCCACATGTCGACGACCTCGTGAGCTAAGTCTAGATATTTTATTGTTTATCTACCTCAGCTTTCACGAGGTGGTCAGCTTTATTATAACTATTGTTACATAAAATAAACATTTAAGTCCTTAATTTTATGATTTTTTTTTTAATTAAACATTGCCCCACACTAGGATTTTCTCCTGTGTCGTGGGTGCGTTTACAAACATACAAGTTCACATACACAATGACACCCAGACCCGGAACAACAATTTGTGGATCACACAAAGTGTTGTTCTGTGCGGGAATCGAACCCGCGACACGTTGCACGGCAGCCGGTTGCCCAGCCACCGCACCAACCGTGCAGTATTCGTGCAGCAAATATAATACATACTTGTTTTTTACCGTCATCTGCTGGCGTTTTTGGGAGCGTTCCGATTACACCTTGCCTGTATGTAGGCAGTAGACACTATAGACTAAGTATGTATAGTGATTTGGAAAATATACAGAAAACACATAACATAACATCACGTGTTTTATAGGCATGTAGACAGAGGAGCACATTACGGCACTTAATGCTGTACAATGTAACACACACTTTTCACTATTTATGTTATGAGTTCTATGTAATAGGGAGGAGCTATTGCCATATACCGGGCACAATTCCAGACTCCGTGCTACTAATGAGATTTTTATTTATAACCCCAGTAATACTTTGCCCGGCAGTCGCACTTGCGACCACTCGGCCAACGAGGCAGTCATCATGTACAGAAAATCATTGATTAAAAAAACTACGAAAATGCTTTGGTTACGCACGAAGATAAAACAGATCTCTTCTGCTAGACTATGCGTCTGCAGTATTCACCTATTCACCGAACTCCCTGCCATTGCTACACGGCAAGCTCACATTATGACCATAGTCTACATTATAAAAAAGTCTACATTATGATCTGTTTAATTATCTACATCTATAAGAAGTATAAGTATTTCCGACAGTTGTCTGAAGCACCGTAATATATGATATTATTACCGTGTCTAAAGCGCTTGATCTTACAAACAAGTTTGTTTAAAACTATAACGAACCAAAATTGCACTAATGTATTTAAATTTTTTTATCGTACATTAACAAATAGTTTAAAACGTTATTCAATGCAGCCTATCTTTGCATGTTATAGTTTTATTGTTCTTTGTGATGTGGAGTATTAAAAGGATGATGTATAGTATATTTATTTATTGCTTTTTTATATTTCCTTAATACATGTTGGTCTGTTATTCGTTTCAGATAACGTCAGAGAGACAAATTCAAGAAGGACTTCGATATCGTCATTGATTGGTTAGGGACAGACAAAGTGAAATTGCGTAATTTCCTATGGATAATCTACATTTTCCATGATTAAACTATAGGAACTAGTAGATTCACTTTTAGAATACAAATACTATGAGTATTTTGCGTAACCTTCATGTTCTTATCGAAAGCAAGAAATAGTGTCGATAAAAATTCTTCTATTATACAATTACCTACACTTGATTCCAAAATGTCTAAAAAAAATGTGTAGTGGAAAAATTTATTCAAATTAATGAATTGTACGTAGAATTTGGATGCAAAGACAAGGTTATATTATAATGCTAATTTAATAGTATCTACCTATACCAATTATTTTACTTATATTAAAACTATGATTGAAAGCATTCGATTCAAATTCATGAACGTTGTATAATTATTATTATACATAAGGTCGACATTTAAAAAAAGGTTAATCAAGACCTAATAACAAGTTAGTGTTTCATTTTATGCAAGTAATTCTATATCTAAGTTGTAGTTTACCTTTATATTTATGTAATTACATATTCTAATGCATTATTGCCAAAAATATTGGTACACAGACTATGGAATACCAATTTTCTCGAAATTTTCCAGATGTTCTCCTACGTAGGCTGAACTGTGTAAGACTTACCCACGATTTTCCTTAATTTTCTTCAATGTTTCATCTCAAGAATATAATCCAACCTCTAAAATTCATCAACACAGTCGTCGAGATAAATAATGAATTTGTCTACAATTCATTCCATGTGTGTGAATATGAGAATTCTAATTCCAAATTGTACTAAATGACCTTCCTAACGAAGGTAAAAACAATTTACTTTTTTTTAATACAAAACTTGTTTTATACTTTATTTATAGAAACGGCGTCAGATAGCAAGTATTATCGTTTTCAGACATTGAAAATTTAAATTCTTTTGTATGTAAATTTGCATAATCCGCGTCAAAACAAGCCACGTACGTTTGTACAGCTGAATCCAACAAAACAGCAAACAGGTAACCGAACATCGCATTCAATATTAATTTTAGAACATAAAATGAATATTTTGTGATTAATCACTTTTAAAAAACCGGTCGAAACTTCATCCACACAAACACTGTTTATGGTATTTTCACTTCACTATTAAACTTCACTTGAAATCACAATGCTAGTTGGCAATCCACAAATTCGAACACAGAATTAGTTTTGAAATTGGAGCGCGCGAAATACGTTAGCGATTTTCCCGCGTAAACAATATGGCGACGTGTACGCCCCCCACGACGGTGCAGAGCAGACTGGCTAAGTAAAGGTGACGCTTCACATGATCAGATCACGTCGTTGGGTATATATTTTCGCCACGAATGTAACCTTAACGCGACCGGTTTGAAAGCCCGTTAATATAATATCTGCCAAAAATAACACAGTATACAAGTTGTTTTCCATATTTTTGTGAAACAAGCGTTATTTTGCTGCGCTTATGAATGCGTTAATGTATGTACATTATGTTCGTTGCAGAGTATAGCAAATGTACCTATTTATTTTGGTTTCCTTGCTCAGCGATCATCATTCTTCTTCGTGAATTTGTTTTTGTGAAAATTTTCTAAAGGGAAAACAATTTTTCATAACGTACAATTGTGTTGAAAGAATTTAGAAGGGCTCGCAATATGAGAACAATTTTTATTATTTCATTTTCTTCTTACATAGGTACTGGTTTTTTGTATAGGTATTTTTCTTACAATGTTATTTTATTCAAATGCTTACAATTGGAATTTTCGTTGTAAGCATTTCGGGTTAGACTGTTTTTCGTTGCCTAGAATTTTTCAGCTCTAAAAGTAATTATTCGTTTTCAGGGAAAGTAATGCTGACTTCAAAAGTTTCAATTAGTTTTTTGTTACATTCTATCGCGTATAGTCTCAAATTAAAATAATAGAAAGACGAAACGATTGCCTCGTTGGTTGAGTTATTACAAGTGCTATTTCCAAGCAAGGGTTTAAGTTCCTCAAGTTTGATTCCGTGATCATAATTATGTGGTTACATAGAGAAATGTTGTGGTACTCATCACTTGACCAACCTTAGAGTACATATTTGTATAGTTACATAATAACACTGAATAATTACAATTCAGAGCTCAACTACCTCTCTATCTATGACCCTCTCAACTATCCTTTAGAACGATGTCATTAGCTTTAAAGGTATTAATTTTAGTGTTCTAGTTAGAGACCTTCATAAATTATTGAAGACTTTAAATATAAGTTTCATGTAAACTGACATGTTATTATGGTTATGGCGTGTAAGATCATTATTTGTGAAACAGATTGCATTACATTACATTATCTATATCCATTTTTACATTAATTAAAGTTTTCATGGCATAGAGGGCTAAATGGGTTGGCAATTGGAGATCCAATTGCTAACTGTTGGCAACTGTGAGCAAGTGTGGGGGAGCCATGCTTTAGCACAAATGGGCCGGCTCGACCGGAGTGATACCACGGCCTCACAGAAAACCGACGTGAAGCAACACTCGCTTTGTGTTTCGTCGTGTGAGTGAGGTTACCGGAGTCCCAATTACCCTCCCCTTTCCCAATCTTCCCAATTCCTTAATCCCTAACGATGCTTAGACTCCGAATCCTCAAAATGCCGGTAACTCATTTGTAATGCCTCTGGTGTTACAGGTATCCATAGGCGACGCCCATTGCTTACCATCAGGTGATCCGTCTGCTCGTTTACCGGCTTATGCCAAAAAAAACTGCCCATGGACACCGTTATCACTGAAGAGATGTACGTGTATTATCGACCTTAAAGGGTTGCATTAAGAACTATTAAGAATTGTAACAAGAGGCGAAACTAATGTTGCCAATGTCATTTTGAAATACAAAATTCTTTTGAAAATTTAATTAACAGAATACTATAAAGTAGTATTTTATTCTCGCAATCTCATAACTGTAATACATTATCCTGTGGATCTTGGGACCTACTGCGCAGTTGCATGATAGGGTAGATGACTAATTTTTATTTTAATGTCCGTCTTGTAGATTCTTTTAAAACATAACACACGCATTTTTATTTTTTTACAGAAACAAATACTTTCGAGGATATATTGATTCGAAATGTCGCATGACGTCACTTCGGTGTACATTTTATACGTAGAAATGACGTTTTAGCCCCCACTCCTAAACTTTGATTCGTTATATATAAGTATCATTTTATTATACAATAAAATAAAAAAATACGTGCCTAATATACTACTATATAACTGACTAGCACCCCGTCCCGGCTTCGCACGGGGTAGACAATTATTTATTTTTGGAAATTTGTATTGTTGTAGTGACATAACTACAATAGTTGGACATATGCTACTGCGGAGTTTTTGTAGATATTATGATGTTCTTCAATATTTTTTTACATTATTTTGTTCTATCGCTAATAGTTTTGGCAGCGCATTCGACGAAAGACATTTTAAGACTCAATTTTTTACACCTTCGGTTACATTGTTCAAATTATACCAACGATCCCTAATTTTTTTCAAAATGAAATGTATATGCATATGTCAAATTGGAAGAATGTAGCATCCTATTGGTGAAATAATTTTTTAAATCGGGCCAGTACTTTTTGAGCCTATTCATTACAAACATACAAACATACAAAAATAGGTGCAAATCTTTCCTCTTTATAATATTACCTCTAGTATGGATGGACTAATTAGATTTTTAATTTTTATACCCTGTCATCATCCCTATTGCGAGCAGTTATACAATATCAAGTATCGTTTTTCATGAAGCATTTCACTATTCTGGGGATAAACAGACCAAAAAGTAATCTCATTGTTTGTCAATCATGGATGAGACCTTATTTCCATGGCTATCGAAGCGTGTAATAGATTTTTAGGGGAAGGAAAAGATGTCTTATAGATAGTTTCCAATACAAACAGTCTTACGAACATTTCTTCCTCAATCTTTTTACGATTATTTATGTTGTTGACAAATAATACACTTAAAACTTTTTTTTTCTCAATGTATATGTAGAAAAAGCTGATATATATTTTTTAATTTAGTATGTCTCACGAAAGTGTAGATATAGTACACATATCCTTTTATCTATCTATATCTTTATCTATATCTTTATCTTTACATATAATAAAATTGTAGGAAAGTGAAAACTGCACATTTAATATTTTTTAAAAGAACGCTTGAGGCGTCATCTACAATCGATATCGAAACCAAAAATATGGTTTCTAGAATTTTTGTCTGTTTATCTGTATGTATGTTCGGGTTTAACTCGAAAAGTACTGTATAGATTTATTTTAAGTGCATGAATATTACTAACAGGTCGGTTCAACATATAGGCTACATATTCTCATGCTATTATCTACGGGGGAGGAACTGTGAATGACTATTCCACGCGGACAAAGTCGCGGGCACAGCTAGTGCTAAATTAATTATTATGTTTTTGGCTTACTCATGTAATTACTCGTGGAATGCTGCTCATTAATATGAGCCTCTAGCATGGCTTGAAACTAGTCGAGTTCCTCGAACCAGTTCAAACGAGTAATCCGAATAACATACTATTTTGTCACTTTTTAGAAGACTCATTACAAACGGACGGTCTGATACGGTCTCGACGAACTCACCAATAGATGGCACCACGACCAGTTTACCTGACATTTCTGATGACGAAGATGACCAATGCACTAAGTTAAAACAAAAATTAGAAAAATTATCTCTAGAACTCAATAGTGCCCACAACGAAATAGATTCCCTGACTCTAGAAAATACGCAGCTCAAACACCTTAATGAGGAGCTACAAAAACAAAATGCTCTGTATAAAAAGGTGACATGTTCCCCTGCTAAGCCAAGCATGCAAACACCTAAAATTAAGAAAACATCTGCAAAAATTAAACAGTACGCGAAAAATAACCCGAAAACGTCTAGTGAATATAAAAACATCCCAAGTATAGCTTCGAAATCCACATTTCCAACCAATGAACAAAATCAATCGCAGTTAGATAAAGCGATCACAGATGGCGTTATCAGTGACTCTTGCAATAAAGAACAAAGAAAGACAGAAACACAATCTACGCAATTAAATTATAAAAGTAAATCTAATGTAACTAGAACGGGCAAATTATGTATTATAAGTAGCAATAAACATAATAAAATGTTAGAAATTGCAGAAAATACATTCCCTAATTATAAAATTTGCCACTACCTGACACCCAACTGTGGTGTTAAGTGCCTTATCTCTGACTTGGATCTCAAATTGAAGGACTACAATAAGAATGACTACTGCGTGATATTTGTAGGGGAAGATGACTTTCGTCGGACAAAGAATTATGTAGAACTAACTATTTATATTCGTGAAACACTATTAAAATTGCAGCACACGAATATCATATTATGTGCTCCTACCTTCAAATTGAATGACTATTCTATTATGTTTAACTCGAGAATTGAAACCTTCAACAGTTTAATATATCTAGATGCGTATTCATTTAATTATGCATATTTGTTTGATTCAAACTACTATCTTGACTATGATTTTACAATGTTTAACAAAAGTAGTAGCTCTGTAGGTAATCGTGGTATGGCTAATATAATGCACAATATTGGTTTAATGATTGATGAAATAGTAATGTATAGTGACTTAAATACTTGTTATTCTACTGTTGGGGTACCTGATGTGCATGACTCTGTACAAAGCAATGACACTGATGAAAATGAATTGTTTTTTCTCTAATAAATATCTCAACATTTTGCACCAAAATATAGCTGGTTTGATAAATAAAGCAGATGATCTGTTGGTATGTCTGGAGGAGCTTGCGAGTAGGGATACTAGTATTGATATCGTTTGTATTACAGAGCACTTTATCATGGATGGGTATCAGAATTTGTTGTTTTTGCCCAACTATGATTTGGCTGCATATTATTGTAGAATAGGACAGAAACGGGGTGGTGCGTGTATCCTTGTTAAAAATGGGTTACAATGGAAAGAATTGCCAAAAGTAGCAAAATTATCAACTCCAGGGATATTTGAGTGCTGTGGCGTAGAACTGACTAGTTACAAAATGACAATAGTTTGTATATATAGAATTCCTAACTCAAATAATTTAAATTACTGCTTCGAGAAACTTGAAATGCTCATGCGTGAGATTTTATGTTCATCTTGTAGAAAAATTGTTGTTTGCGGAGATTTCAACATTAACGTACTTAAGCAAAGCAGAGAAGCGACTGAATTAGAATGTTTTTTAATGAGTTACAATATGAAACTTGCCTTAAAAGAACCAA